TTATAGTATATTTTGTGAAAACTTCTTAGGATTTGTCCATTTTTCGAAGGAAAAGAAAGTTAAAACTTTAGTTTTATAGACTAGGATTTTTTGTGAAAATTTCTCAAGAATTTTTCAGTAGTTGTAAATTCCATGACTATATTTGAGAAGATCGAAGCTTAAGCTATTTGTGGCGTTTATAACTACTGAAAAATATTGATGAGTTCCCCTGAAAAATATTCACAAGATTTTTAGAAAATCAGATTTCTTGTCCTTTATTCAATTTGTTGTTAAAATTTCATTGTGGGTATTACTTTACATTCAATGATGTATTTGATTGAGGCAGATATTTCACTCGTTATAGTAATGACGTTGATGGCTGATTATCACAAGTTTCATATTTGTTAAACTCTTATTATTTCAGGAATATTTATGCATGTATTGTTTAATGCATATTCTTGTATTATTGATTCATCTTTGTTTCTCTGTGTTTCTATGGATAGTTAGAATAGGTTTCATCTTTTATTTTGTAAAGAGAGTCTTCCTTACAGTTGAATTTTAATTTTTCCCTTTTTTGAGAAGCAATTTTGATTTATAGTTTGATCTTTACAGCATTTGACTCTCAATATTAGTTTCATTTATTGATACTATTCCTGTAATAATGGCATTGGTGAAGTCATCGTCCTGGTATTTCCTGGTAGAAAAAGAAGATGATGCTATTCCTAATAGCCCTTGGTTAGCAATGTCAACGGTTGAATTATCTTTCTACAACGTTGATTCACAGAAAAATTCACATAAAGATCATATAAGATTTAGACGTAATCTAAGCTCACTGACGTACAACTAATAAAAGTCCTTAGTCGAATGTGGAGATATACATGAAGAGGAGACGTCATGATGAATCAGTTAATAAATGCAAAGAAAGACTAGAAAGACAGTAAAAGAAATAATATAGATGAATCACGATTTTAATGTCTACTTTTGTATGATAGAAACTATTGATTCCCGGCATTTACTTTCCAAAAAAACATTTTTTTTCTCACCTCCCTCTTGCACTCTTTCTTTCTATATCGTTAAGTTAAGTTATTTACCTGATTAATTTGGGGTTGAAAATTTTCACATTTTTTACTACACAGGAGCAACGGTGACAAGCTTTTATTAACTTTTTGTAATTGAAATGAAATGTAACAAGTAGTTTAGTGTTGTACTCCTATAAAGGATAGACTAGGTATTATAGTTTAACACTTGAAAGTGTATGTAATTATCGATAATATATATCAAGATACATGTTGAGGGCCCAATATACTGTGAAATACTTTTTTTTAATTTTTTAAAAATATTATCACCATTCATACAATTGACTATAGTCAAACAAAGAAGACACACACACACACATATATATATATATATATATTCTTGAAAAATTACATCACTTTGGACAAATAACTATACCGACAGTGTAGCAAAAAAATAATGTGAAACATACTTTTTAAAATCAAATTTTGTGTCTAATTCTTTTACTATTTCTTTCATTTTCTTTTTACTGTTAAGTTCAATCGACATGTTCAAAGAAAAAAAAAAAAAGAAAGAAGAAAAAGAATACAGAAGAAAAATGTTTAATTTTTAAATAGTTTATATTCGTTACGTTTGTCTTGAAAACAATGTTCGACTATAACATACTCTGATATTACGAGATTGATTTAATCAGAAACACGTAAGTGACATATTGATTACACTTCTGATGATTAGAATAAATAGAATGATGGTATTAAATAGATTATTTTTCATTGAAATATTTTTTTATAGAAATTGATAATACCACTATAAATTTCTTCTGTTATTCGAAGGTAAAAGTATATTGTTACAAACTTAGCTGTATGAAATTGATTAGTCACACTTCAATATCCGAAAAAAAAATTTCCATCTATTTTTTTTTCTACTTAAGGTTAATAAAACTTCTCTAAAAAAGATTGTTTAAAAAATTAGAATGTTATTTTCAAACACAAAGATCTATCAGACACTTTTAATAATCAATCAATCAGTAAAAAACTGTCAACGTTAAGGTTGTTAAAATTTGCGTAAGCGGATATTTGTTTGAAGAAGGTCTCAAATTAATGTAAACAAAAAGGCGGTTAAGTTTATTTTTGTTCGTTTTTGTAAAGCGCATAAAAATAACCTGTAATTATTAGAATAACAATAACATAATTTGAATGCACTGCTAATGACCAACATAAAGGACTTCGTTTTCTATAAAAACAAAATATGACTTTTTTTTAATCAGATGTTAACATTATTTTTATTACTTTGCATGTCCAAATCTCAATTTCATCTCATTTTATATTTCTCGTATAAAAATTAGTGTGACAGTTTTAATTACCTAAATATCGAATAGGTAAGACGAAAGAAGAATGACTCTTTCCAGATTGAAACCACGTTTTTGTTCACAGTTATTAATTAGATTAAAGAAGTGGTCTCAATCGGAAAATGAGAATTTGTATAAAAGAAAAAGAGGTCTCAATTCAGAATAGAAAATCTTAACAAATTAGTCAAATTAATATTTCTTATAAAATATAAATTAGAATTATATGTTACATATTATATATTATCGATAAATAGCATATCATAGATAAGATCATGTATCAATAATTATGGACAAAGTAGTGAGTATTTCATACAACTTTAGAAAGTTTATTATATTGAAATCAATGGGTCGGTGGAAAAGAATTTTTACTGCAGAGGTAAACCTTGTTAATGGTACCAGACAAGAAAAGATAAGACAATACCTCTACCCTAAACAATATCTTATGCAAATCTCTTTCCAACTGATTTATACAAACTTTTAACATTGTATGTTAGTTTTCTGAGAACGGAGCTGGTTTTCCGAAGATCTCTGAAATTTTTTCAAAAGTTGTTTCCGCTTGTGAAAAGTTCTGCTCAAGTCTTGGCTATCGAACAGCAAAAACCGCAGGTCTCTTTCTCACTCCTATCAAAAGTTATTCAAAAAACAGTCACGCGCACATTGTTTTGGCGTCGATAGTGGTTAGATATCAGCTAAGCACTTGAAAAGCTCAAGCAAATTCATGCGACATCCAAAAAATATGTTGTGAGTGAAACTACTTTGCAAACTCATTCTCACACCTTATGTATTCAAAAACATACTTTCCTTCGAAAAATGTTAAAAATCCTATGTAAAAAGTGTGCAAAAATCGGTCTTTGATTTTAAAAACCTTCTGAGACCGAAAGTTCAACTTGAAAATACTTAAAAGAGATTTAGAATCTGATAGAGTATGAAGTATCTATGGTAAAAAGTTGAGCTCGATGGGACTATTTTTTCAAGGAGTCGTAATGTGACCGGATGAAAGGTAGAGTTTGTCAAAAAACCTATAAAAGAACATGACACAATATTCTAAGCAGAAACATATAGATTTTCGTTTTCGATATTCTATCTCTTGTATAAATTTTTTCTGACAGTTATGATCAGTTTCGATTATCAAATGTACCAATTTTATGCTTCTACAGTTTAGCAATTACAGTTAACTGCTTTTTAACTGCAACGAGTGCATACCTAATCTCGAGTAGTCCGATATCTTTAGCTGTCAATTTCAAAAATGATTTTTTGAAATTTTTTTCTACTAATCATCAATTGCAGCTATGAACAGAAGACTAACCTGACAGAAAATTATTACGTTCAATTACTTGAATCGAATAAATAATAATAAGTCGAATAAGTACAAAAATTGCAGTTGTATTCTACTTGAGAGTGATCGATGAATAATAATTTTGAGTTGATCAGCTTTGTCACTTGTAGAGACTCGCTTCCTTTGATCGAAAACAATTTAAGAATTACACGATCGATCCAGCTGAAACTTTTAGGAAATGTTGTGGCAAAGTATTGTTACGATAAAAGTTTTTCGAAGCTAACGCTCGAATAAAGGTCAAAACTATGAGATTCAAAAGATGACTAGATTGATTTTCTGATTTAGGTGCAACCGAGCTACGGATAGTTTTTTGAAAATAATATAACGGAGTCAGATTTTAAATTTTTTTTCATTTTGCTTAGAAAGGCATTTTAATTTGAAGAGTCAAAAAAATAGTCAGAAACTTTGTTTTTTCAGAAAAATGAAAATCTAAATCACATATTGGTCCTATTATGATTAATAGTGGTGTTAGTGGATTTACCGCTGTTTCGACAGCTAGTAGAGAACGCTAAAAGTTTAGTCCTTAAATTTAAATGTAAAAATCAAGTTTTAAGTTCAAAAAACTCCTTCTCTATATTCCAGAAAATTGCGTTTTTCTCAACTTTTGAAATCCACACTTTTGCTTCAAAATGCTTCCTTCATTCGAGCGAAAATTTGGTTTTAAGGTCGAGTTGAGAATACTTTTAGCTTCAAAGTTCCATTGAGAACGTAAAACTTAAATTTTTCTGAGAATCTTCGATGAACCTTTTTTTTATAGATGAAGAGAATGTCTTATACGAAATTAAGACTTATGCAAAACATTAACATTTCAGGCAAACCACTCTTGGTTACTCATCAAAAATTGAGATTTTAAATTTTTCTTGAGCAAAACATAAATCATTTTCTTTCATTTTTCTGATAGGAATTCCATTTTCCGTTCATTTGATTTCTTATTATCTAAGTGTCATTCCTCTACTAGGAAGTGTTCGTTTCTTCGTTTTCGGTTCTTTACCTAATATTCACGATCAGCATCAAATTCTGCATCGAATAAAGTATCTTTAGAAAAATTCTGAGTAAAAACGGTTTTCGATGTTCCAAAGGTGGAATAGGGGCTTCAAATTTTCCGAAAAATTGAAAATGGCTTTTCCAAGGTGCCATATACCTCATTCGACGTAGAATTTCACGCTGATTCTGAATATGTAACTCTTGTTCAGAAATATCAAGGAAAAATTTTGACCCTTATAAGCCCCCGTCCTTTGATGACATTACGGATGACGAATACTGGAAAAAAATATAGCTGATTTATACTAAGTTTTCAACTTTTTTTATTTTAGCTGAAGAAAAATGGCTAGTAGTAACAGTCCGTTGTCAAAATCGAAACCTATGACAAAAATATCCTCGCATACCGTTTATACTGCCACTTCTAAGGATTATGATCGTATGAAAGTAGCTCAAAAGCATGAAAATAAATTGGAACTTGAATATGAACGTTTAGAACGTAAACTGATGTCAAAGGCCAAATGGAACGAGCGTGCAGATCAATCTGTCATCATTAAATCAACAACAGCCTCATCAGCAAATGGAGATCTTTCTGTTGACGATTGGCTACAACGTGAACGAGAGAAAGCGCAAAATATGAACAAATCAAAAGAATTAGCAAATCAACGTATTCGTTGTTCACCTTTTTCAGGTATGACAAAACCAAGTGGTGGAACAAGTACAACGGCAGCTCATTCAATATCCCATGTTCGAAAGGTATCACCAACAACAGCAACAACATCTACTGCTGTATAAAATACCAAAAAACGTTTGTTTTACTTTGTATATTACTTGTTTCCAACGAATCACAAGTATCTTTTCTTAGTTGAACTAATGATGAGAGTAAGAAAAAGTTTGAGCCATATGTCATTTTGGTTGAACAATGGATAGCCTGAGAACACTGTTGTTTGAATGTTATCGTGATTCGTCGAATGCGAAAATAGTGTTTATTATCTATCATTTTCATTTCTTTTCTATTTTCTTTATAACAATAAGTTTTGTCATTTTATTTTATTTTTCCGTACTGTTTTCAGTACTAATTGTCACCAATGTCTCTTTTTATTATGAATAAACCGGTTACCCAATCGACTAATATTTATTTTTTATCCGGTAAATGAAGATCATTTCAGAGAGCATTATCGTACACATCAAATCTACATCTACAAAATATGTCTTGATAAACTTATGAAAAAAAATAGAAAATTTCACGATCATCAGTATGTGAAAGAGCATCATATAACCAGAAGATTTGGAGCTACAGGTGATGTATAAATTGTTAACTTTAGTTCCAGTCACTCCTGGATCTTATGCTTTTTCGCCATTGCTATCTTTATGGTGAATGAACTTCATGCAAAGAGAAAGAAGCATCCAGTATCTCTACCAACATCTCACAGTGGACAGTGGTTGATTTAAAATATGACTTTTTCTTAAACGTATTCGTGGACTCAGAAAAATAGATTTTAAACATCTTTTATTTAAAAATGACAAAGCGAATACGTCCATTTACATGTTGTATATTGAGTTGGAAATAGAGCCGAGTAATTAGATAACAAAAAAATAGTTAGCAATAATCCAAAACAAGCAGATGTTAGTATGGTCGTAAACTATAAAAGAAACAAAGAACAACAATAAAAAAAGATAACAGAATTTGCTGGTATAATCGTAATATAGTAAACAGGCGCACTGTAATTCAAATGACAGGATTGTCTAAATAAGATTTATATTAGAGAACTGGCAAATAAAGAGTTATCTCTTTTCACACATGCATAACTTTCGGTCCTCTTTCTTTTGTGTGTGCGTGTGATGTGATATAGATTTATTCACAAAAGATGAGAAAAGTATAAAAAAAAGTTAGATCTGTGGCCTCCGACATATTTCTTTTCTTATGTACAAGTAGTGTTTATTTTCGTTACAATCTGCTTAACCAGCTATTATTCATCCGGATCTTATTGCTAAATGAATTGCAGAACTCTATTCATATATGTGTTTTTAGATATTTGTAGGTTAGTAACATGCCATATTGATCGTCCTTGTGGAAGAAATTGAATGAAAGGTTGCTCGCTGTGCATGGTTAAGTACTGTTGTAAGCTCTGATAAATAATGTCGCAGGTAATCGGAGACATCTTATTCTAGCAGAAGATTTTAATTAGATCCTGTCAGTCACCCATATTTATACTGCCACTTATGCGAGTTACCCCGCCCTAGTCTATCTTTCATCATCAGCAGACTCATCAACAACTCTTGGAGAAACAAAGTCCAATAATGTGTACTATCCATCAGTCCAGTTACCTTCGGATTGTTGCTTATTTGATACCCTTGGTAACCCATATCATAGGATTTTATCAAGTAAATTTTCGTCTATCTCGGTCTTGGAGACTACTAGTAATCGGAATGTGAGAAATTTCCACCAATGTGATTGAGCTGATCTCAAACTATCTCTGTCTCTATCCTCCTTCAGTACTAATTTTAATGAGATAGACGATATAGGTAAGGCACTACGCCACTTTCAACAGCTTGTTAACACCAGTATCAACAAATATGTGCCTGGAATATTGAAAAAAAACCAAAGGAAAAGCTAGTTGATCTGAGTATTACTTATATTACTTTTCAAACAGTAAACCAAAATGTCCCTGCTGCGAAAGTTAGCAGTTTGCGTATTGTTAGAAATAAAGCTACAAACAAGTTAAGAAAATGCAAGCAAAAGTATTTTCGAGGACTAGCTGCCGAGTTTAAATCATCAAAAACGTTTTGAAGAGGTATGAGTCCAGTTAAAGATGGCGGAAATGAGTTACCAGCTAGTGTTTCGCTCGTAGGTAAAAAAGTGTTTACAGATAGTATAATGAAAACCCGAGCGCCATCATTTTGACTCGCACTACTATGCGTTCCAAAATACAAGACAGTCAGCCACTTTTTGAATAACTTTTGATAAGAATGAGATAGAGACCTGCGATTTCCGCTGTTCAATAGCCAAGACTTGAGCAGAACTTTCTACAAGCAGAAGCAACTTTTGAAAAAATTCCAGAGATCGAGTTTCTAGAGGATCTTTGGAAAACCAG